TATATATATATAAAATCTGCAGTACATATATACATACAAGGAATAAATTCTTGAAATATATTTGATTTAGTTTACAGATAAACAAGGGGAAAAAACAGTGCGACACGTAACGTAGCCTATATACGCTGAGTTTCATTTCATTTTTGTGACAGGTTTAATTTGTTCACAGAAAGGAAACTCAAATGGCAGAAAGCAACATCCTATCTGTTTTCTTTATTTTACAAAAGCACAATGTTTTGTTTTCACTGTGAGTGTACACAAATAAAAGCAGACCTTTATACAGGGATGCAATATCAATAAGACAATAAGTGTTTAAAGTTGATTCTGCTGGTATAAGGAAACAGTTGAAGTGATCGCGCCGGCGTGCGCACACACACACACACACAAAACACATCAGTTCCAGCATTGCTAACTTGACAGCGCAGTTGGTACTTTATCAAAATAAAATACAGTGAACCAAACATAAGCGCCCGCCTCTGTGTCACTGTTGGAACGCGACTGAAGTACAAAGCCTATAATTTACATAATAAATAATAGTTTAGCATTCAGATACGTTACATCGCAAATATGGGATATTTGGGATAAATATTGTGCCGAATGAGAGAAGTAGGATACACGAACACAAAGCTCCATTTCGCAAACAGTTGAGTGCACAAGCCTTTAAAGTATACTCCTTTGTCAGTCTGTGAGAGACGCATTAAGAATCAGCATATGGTCACTGTCTAGTGGGCTTTGTTTTTAATTGCGCAACCAACTCATGGCATTCGCTGTTTTTCTGCTGGCGGCCGGTTATCAAACAGCGTTGCATTGCTGGGGGCGCCCCCTTCTGGATTCGGGGTAAATTGCCTGTATTCGTTGTAAGGCCTCATGCACTGAGCCGAGATGTCCGTACCGTGACGGTTCGGTATGAATACATGTACCGTTCCACCCCTAATATAAATATATATATACTGTATATATATATGGGTCAATATTACCATACTGTAGAGTGCCTTTCAACCCTCACAATACTCAAAAAGTTTGGTTTTAATTTCCCATTCGCTTTATGTCTTATCATAAGTAGTAGACACTCAAGTACTATAGAAACATATTAACTGAGCTCCCACACATTTTTTTTAGATAATTATGGGCCATTATTCGAAACATAAACCATAAGATATGGCCACCCTGTCATGGACATATATATATATATATATATTACTGTTATATACGTTTTCATTGGAAAATCAAGATGCAAATATATATATTTTCTGACAGGTATGATGTCCCTTTCCTAAACAGGGTTATTAAAAAAATAATATAATAATAATAAATAATATAATTACATCCTCAATCACATTGATATACAATGTGGCTGACAGGGCGGAGATTTTGAGCTTCAGTTAGCATATTAGCATACAACAAACTGTGACTAGCTAAATAGTTAGTCTGGTTGTTGAAGAGAATTTGATATATTTAAACATACATATTTTGAAAATACTGTATTCTAATCACTTCTGGCATAGTTTATGCCGACAGGGTGGACATGTTAAGTTTTGGCAAAGCAAGTAAGCAAACTCATACAAAGAAAATTTGTCAATTGAAAAGTCACCAACTTATTCACCTCAGCTGTTGAAATTCCCGCCACTGAAGCGACGAAAAAAATGTCACTAAAGGGGATGGCCTTTTCTTAAAGAGGCAGATTCCCCAATACAACAGGGTGGACAGCCATTCAAGGGACATGGACAAACTCTTATTTTTTATTAAATAAAAATATAGTTTTTATTACCAAATGATCTCTTATTTAACAAAATATTAACACAGTGTGTTTACACTCTTCACTCTTTACAAGAACAAACCAGCAAGGGACAATACACATTTTTGTCTTAAGTTCCACATTTCCCAGTGTTTACACCCTCATGCTTTTAACATGTCAGATCTCCAAGCTTTTATTTTGGTGGAATTTTGGTAAAATGCTGTAAATGTCAGTCCATAAAACGTTGCCAATTATGTGTGAATGTAAATGAAGCAAACATGCACTTGCAAAGGTGAGTTTGTCAGAGCAGCATTTGCAGTACACCAAGCTGCTCTAAAAACACTGTATTACAAGCTGCCTGTGTGTAAATGAACACAGTGCTGCACTTCACTCTGAAACATGAAGTGCAACTATAAAGCTACTTTTTAAACTATATAGCTGAATCTTTAGATAACAGTGTTTTTAAGATATATTGTTTTATTGATTAACTGCAGCCTCATTTATTTATTTTAATGTTAAATACAGTTCATCAACTCACAATCCCCCTGCCTTCAAATAGTACCCTTAAGTGAATCTATTATGAACCTTTAGAAACAAAGATGTTCCTTTAAGATGCCCCAGTGACCAGCCGTTCTACCTATAATTATACCCATTTTTCCCACTTTTTTCTTTTTCTGTGAGTGAATGTACAGTATATCTGAGCTTTATGTGGATATGTCATTTCATGACAATTTAGTGACTCTTACCTGATACCTTAAAGTCAGTGCACGTTATTCTAGGTATTCACCTTGAATGGTAAATGTGACTTCCATGTTAAAATAAGAAATATATAGCCTATGATATAAGACCTTGTATTAAGATCTATGTTCTGTATTGCAGTTTTCACATTACAACACCCATATTGCATATAAATGTCAGGAGGTAACCCTGATATTATATCTTATTTAGGATATTATCAGTTTCCTTATAAAGAAAGTAAATATGATTTGACATATGATCATTCCTTGAACAATCTATTTAAAAACTCAACAAGATATGAGCTACTAAAAATAGTAGGTAGGCACTAAAATGGTTTTCAGTTTTGCTGCAACAGCTGAATTGTTTGTGCTTTTGTGGATGAGCCACTGACTGTAATTTCTTGAGCTCACTAGTGGTTGCATAAGTCTCTGTGTTTACTGCCTATAGCTGTGTTCACCATTTCTGCCTGATGAGAGGAGCTCAGGCTCAGAGCTGTTACTGGGCCTCTTTGTCCATTGTATTTTATAAGCCCAGAATCCCCTGGTGTCTGGAGAAGCAAGTCTGTAACGCCATGCCTGTGATTACTGTCATGTTGTCATAGTATGAGTTAGGTTTTCTTCCCATGTGTCATGGAATGGTTGAATTTTAGCTGCAACAGTGGAACTTTTAGTTTTTAAACCGCTTCATCAGTATGCCCTTTATCAGTAAAGTAACGTGCAAAATGTCATGCTGTTTCCCAAATGTCTTGACTTGACCAACAGCTCTGTTTTGGGTAAACAAAGCATAGTATTCTGGGCGCAGATGTAGATTTAAGTCTTGAAATGTACAAGGTGCTGTATTGCAAGGCGATTGCACAATCTTTGAACAACATGTTTGAATTAGTTTAGATTTTAAAAAAGCAATACCAGTCATCTGTACTCATTCATGAATGCTCCCAGTGGCGGCTTGGGCAGTGGGATGAATGAAGCGTATATCTTCACTGCATGTGCTTTGTTTCCCATCAGAACTGATAGTGTTGGAGTCTGGGCTTTATGTTTGACAATGATAATGACAATTCTCACAACAACACTGAGCTTTTCTACAATCCCGGGTGCCATCCTTTTGGTGAGGTCCTTTTTTTATTTGTCATTTTTTTTATATTGTGTCCTAAAAGACAAGTGTCTTGCTGATTAACACAGATTATGTGTTCTGGCATACCATGTCCAATTAATTTGCTCTCCACTTGTGGCTGCACATTCATGATAGCAGTAAGTTGTCTGATGGCGTACATGAATGATGGAGTCTAATATGTTGTGTATTTTGAGAAAATGAAGGGGCCCAACACTGAACCCTGATGTACCCCAGTGGTCAATAGTTATGATTTAGACACCTTGCCTTACAGAAACCTTGACGAACCTGTACATGTGTGTCATAATTGAGTTTTCACTCTGACCTAGACATGTGCCGGTATTCGGTAATGCGATATATCACAGTAATGAATATGCCCGATATTGTTATAGTGGGTACTTCAAAATACCGAGAATAATTATTACAAATTATTCTGAATTTTGAATGCATTTTAATAATCCTTTTCCCATAAACTAGTCACAATGCACAACACCACCGTATGCTGCGTCAAAGACGCGTGTGCACTCTGATGTAAACAAGCACGGTTGAGAAGTGCATGATGGAACACGTGAGAGACACTCTGGATGAAAGCGCACTTCACTCTCTGTAAAATTTTTTACTTTATACATTTTTTGTGTATTGCTTTATTGTATTTAAATGTTGTTATTTTTGTTATAAGAAAAAAGTTGTTAAACCTGTTATACTGTATTATGACACTTTTTTTGCAACTAAATTTCAATATCTTGATAATTCCGTATACTGTGATAAAAGCATTAGCAATTAATCACAACATGAAATTTGATAACAGCAAGCTAGCTGTCAGCTAGTTTGTTGATTTATTTTCCATTTTATGTGCTTTGATTTGCCTTTTTAGAGAAAGACTGTCTGTCGGTTTACAGTTGTTTCTTTGGCATTTCAGCTTTATCTTGGTATCACACATTTAGATGTAAGGGCACAGCAAGGCATATAGCCTGACTTGAGTGGATTGACGTCATGCCAGTGCTTATACAACATCCACTGTATCTTTGTAACTGCGCTGAAGGCCGTACCTCATTCTGTACAGACACATTCATTGAAATGAAAAAGGATTTATTAGTACTTTAGTCTTTCTGAGATTTTCAGAGTATGTTTAAATCTTTCCAACATCAAAGCACTACATTTTATCCTGAAGTAGAAATTATAAACTCATTTGCATTTCATGTTTAACACATTTCTTAAAGAGACCTTTCATGCTTAGCTGTTAGATGGCAGTGCATAAGAGATTTCAGCAATAATTTGACGCCTCTGATTTGCAAAAATGTGTCAAAAGCAAATTCACAATTCAGCAGAACATGTTCCCCTGTCATATAGCATAAATAATGAGGAGAAAGGCAGAGAAAGAGACTTAGTTGAGACAGGCATCACAAACCAGATTTTTTGCCATCTCCAATTCAAATCTCTTTAGTTCTTTGAAACTAAAGAAAGAAAAAGTAAAGATTTATAGTGTGGTATTCACTATACATTGAACAAAGTGAGTGAACAAATGATGGTAAATACAGTAATGGCACCATCATTTTTTATGCATCTAATGAGTTTGTCACCTTTATGAGGTGAGTAACAATGAACATGAGTAGAGTTTTTTTCTTTCCATCCTCTCTTTCTGCAACGACTCCACCATTAAAAGTCATGATTATAGCAATCAGTGTAGTTGTAACCAGTTATTGACTACATTGGCAGTCAGTCCTCTTTCCAGGTGTCGAGTACCTGTAATTTGTATTATCAGCAACCTCCTTCTCAAAACACTAGTGTAGTGTAGATGTTCATGTCCAAAATGTCTGATGTCAAACTGTCCATGACAGAGATGTGTCACTAAATGCATGTTACCATGGTAACAGTTTATGAAGACCTTCCGGATTGGCGGTGTGGAAAAGTGGTGGGTGTTTGTGCTTGGCTTTTCTCTTTCGAGGCCCTGAGGGTTTTGCAGTTCAATCAGCCTTGTGCATGTCGCTGTCACTGAAGTGGAGAGGGTCTGTCTCCTCGGAGTATTCAGCATGACATGTCTGTGTCTTAAGTTACTATGTTTCTGGGACTTTGAGAAAGTCATCTGTCAGCCACCTTACAAAGGTGTTGCAGCAGGATACAGCGATATGTTCAGTATGTCTGAAACATGGGTAATGAAGTTGTTATTCACAGATTATCTTCACCTCCGGTGCATTGTGAACTTAAAAACTGCTGTAGAAAGAAATAGGGTAACACTTTAGTTTAGGGACCAATTCTCACTATTAACTCTTTGCTTATTACTAGCATATTGGGTTACACTTTACTTGAAAGGGTGTGCATAAGACTGACATGACACCTTCATAATCATGACATGACACATACATAATCATGACATGACACGTCATGAATATGACGTTTTTTTTATGCATGTTTATGACAACTGTCATTAAGTGTCATTTGCTCAGTTATGTAATTTTTAATGCAAAGATGACATTGTTTGAGATGTCTTTGTTATGGGCTATGGTTAGGGGTAGGGGTAAGGGTAGGGTTAGGTTAGGGTTAGGTCAAATAATGTCATATTTGCATTAAACATGACATTACTGAGCGAATGACACTTAATGACAGTTGTCATAAACATGCATAAAACCTCCTTCATATTCATGACATGTGTCATGTCATGATTATGAAGGTGTCATGTCAGTCTTATGCACACCCCTTCAAGTAAAGTGTTACCGCATATTATTTATTAGTACTTCTAAAGCATATATTAATGTCTTATTCTGCATGACCATATTCTAGATCCATTGATTCTACCTCATACCTAAAATTAAAGGGATAATTCACTCAAAAATGACAATTCTGTCAGTAATTACTCGCCCTCATGTCGTTCCAAACTCGAAAGACATTTGTTCATCTTCAGAACACAAAATAAGATATTTTTGATGAAATCCGAGAGTTTCTGACCCTCCATAGACAGCAATGTAACTGAAACGCTCCCAAGCCCAGAAACATAGTAAGAACATTGTTCGAATAGTCCATGTGACATCAATGGTTCAACCATAATTTTTACAAATCTACAAGAATACTTTTTTGTGCACAAAGACGACGACTTCATTCAACAGTTCTTCTCCTCCGCGTCACCGTAGGCGGCATTAATGAGATTACCACCATGCGTTGTAACATTGCTGTCTATGGAGGGTAAGAAAGCTTTCTGATTTCATCAAAAATATCGCCATTTGTGTTTTGAAGATGAATGAAGGTCTCGCGGGTTGGGAACGAAAGGAGGGTGAGTAATTAATGACAGAATTTTTATTTTTAGGTGAACTAACCCTTTAACAACTACCTTACTAACGAGAAAATAGGAGTTTTTTAAGGCAAAAGTCGTAGTTAATAATTAGTTAATTGTAATAGTTGGACCTTAAAATAAAGTGTGACCAATAAATGTATATATTGTTCAAAGTAAATCGCAAGTATTTGAACACTGGTTGTGAAATGTTAGAGGAACACGTTCAATGTCACACATGTGATTTATCTGCTCGGACTCCTGCATGAACTTGAGAGAAGCAACGTCCTACATCTACTAAAAATCATTGACACACCAGTACAAAGACAACACTTGTTTTGATATCTTGCATTTACTACAATGACATTAGCACATTTTGAAGTGTCCAAATAAATTGTTGTTGCTTTTGCATGCACACTACGGTATCAGTATCAATGCATGTATCAGTTTATTACAGACATACTGTATGTGTTGTATATTTGAATGATACATGATTTAGAAGCTGCTAGAAATGGTTTTATTCCTTACTTCATTACCTTTGGTTTTTTACAGGTTGCGTTTCACCTGCAGCCCTACAAAGGCCGGACGGACCTCAGTGTGCATGACAACATCAAATACATAATTGACAAGTAGGTTGCACCTGCTCAGTACCTTCATACCTCCTGCACTGTTCTGAAACTAAAGATCAGAGCGATCCTGTCTGCTAACCTGAAAGTCTAGCCCTTGTCCATCATGATGAGCTGGGTTGCTTTGAACTCAGGAGTTGGGGTGAAATTCAATCCAGCCTGGTGAACAGAAAAGAGAGTGGTGTTTTAAAAATAGAGGTCTTTTCTTCCATTAATCATTCAGGAAACAGAACGTATATAACATGACCTGATGGTATTGCGGCTAACTCACTCAGGTTGAAGAGAACAATGGCTGCAGTGTGTAAATCTATAACACTGTAACAGTCTACTGGCTGCAACATGCTGTGTCATTTTTTGCAAATATATTAAAGTTATTTGTCCTTGAATTGTTCTCTAGCAACAGGAATGCCTTGGAATGAAAGACATTATGTAAAACTGAGCTGTGTAGTTTTACACTTTATCATCTGTACTGCTCTGAGAGGCTCGCCTTCAGAACAAGGACACGCAACATTCCAGAAAGCACAAAACACTTTTATAACACTGTACAATGTTGTATTTTGATTATAGTTAGCTTTAAAGGGGTCATGACATGGATTTTTTTTTTTATTATTATTATTTTAATATGTTCGTTGAGGTTTACTTATAATGTTAATACAGTTTATTTGCACAAATAAATAAATATGTGGGAAAATTATTATTTTCAACCCTCATTCTGACCCTCTGTCTAAAACGGCCTGTTTTTAAGGGGCGGGTCCTTTAAGGCTTCTCAGTAATCGGCCACTGTTATGATTGGCTAACGTCACTGCATAGAAACGGTATCAATGCCCCCTCGCTATTGCATGTGAGTGTTTTGACAACATCAGTCCTCTGACACGAGGTTGCCATTAAAAATAAACTATCCGCTTGTTCCTGACGCTGGGATACATCTGATATCTGTACAAAGACGCTCTGGAGGCAGTGTTTATGCAAATGTTTGTGCCCAGTTTTAATGGTTCAAAGACGGCTTATATGCCAAAAGATCAAGGCAAATTTGATTTCTCATGACCCATTTAATTAACAATAAGCAATACATTTGTCACAGTATTTATTCATCTGTGTTAATATTATAATAAATACAGCTGTTCATTATTATTTCACGTTTACCATTGATAGATACAACTTTTGATTTGAATAATTTATTAAAAAATGTTTAACTAATGTATGATGTTTTGTTTTGTTTGTCCACACATTGGAAGTCAATGGTAACCAGAACTGTTTGATTACCAAAATATCTTACTTTGTGTTCCACAGCAGAAATAAATCTATACCAGTTTGGAACAACATGAGGTTTGAGAAAATTGCCATTTTAGGGTGAACTGTCCTTTGAGTAAATGCATTAGAAGTATTTTTCATTGTTAGTTCATGTTAACTGAAGTAATTAACTAACGTTAACAAATGGAATCTTATTGTAACGTATTAACATTTTTATATATTATACTTTACATAACTCTTTTCAATAAGGTTTATTCCATTAATATAGTGCATTAGGTATCATGAACTAACAATGAACAATATTTTTTTGTGTACAGTGGGTTAATGTTAATTATACATTTTCAGCATTTCAAAACTAACTAATTTATTATGAACACAATTAAAAATGAATATATATCCTTGAATTAACAATACATTATGCTTTGATTCATAAATGCTGTAAAAATGTTATTGTTAGTTCATAATATCTATTGTATTAAAGGGTTAGTTCACCCAAAAATGAAAATTAGGCTGCGTTTTACTCACCCCCGAGCCATCCTGGGTGTATATGACTTCCTTCTTTCAGACGAATCCAGTCGGAGTTATATAAAAAATTGTCTTTGATCTTTCAAGCTGTTTAATGCCACTCAGCGGGTGTTGCATTGCTTCAGTCCAAAAGAACTTAAATAAAAATCGCCCATCCATAAAAAAAAGTGTCCGGAGGGTGAACAAAGGCCTCCTGTAGCGAATCGATGCGTTTTTGTACGAAAAATATCCATATTCAAAACGTAATAATCACTTTAATCTAGCTTGCGCTCACAGTTGTACACAGAAGCAGCTCCGGGTGGATGACGTATGAGGTCAGCGTTGCGCATGCGCCAGTGAGTCTCGTGGCAACCAATGTTTGTTAACAGGAGCAAAGGAAGCAAAGTTTCCTCACTTTAGCAAAGGACAACCAGTCTCCTCTTGGCTTATATCAAAATCCTCCGACATTCTTCTTTACAAATCCTCGTTTTATACTTCTAATTCTTGACCGTTTTTTTGTTTTGATCTCTCCGCTGCATTTCCGCGTTTGTCACTTCTGAGCGGCGCATGCGCAAAGCCGACCTCATATGTCATCCGACCGGAACGGCTTAGTTTACAACTGTGAGCGCAAGCTACATTAAAGTGATTATTACATTTTGAATATGGATATTGTTCTTACAAAAACGCATTGATTCGCTACAGAAGGCCTTTGTTCACCCCCCCAGAGCCGTGTGAGACACTTTCTTTATGGATAGGCAATTTTTATTTAAGTTCTTTTGGACTGAAGCAATGCAACACCCGCTGAGTGGCATTAAACAGCTTGAAAGATCAAAGACAATTTTTTATATAACTCCGACTGGATTCGTCTGAAAGAAGAAAGTCATAAACACCTAGGATGCCTCGGGGGTGAGTAAAACGCAGCCTAATTTTCATTTTTGGGTGAACTAACCCTTTAAGTAAGTTTAACAAATTGAATCTTATGGCGCTTTTCCACTGCATGGTACGGCACGGTATGGCTCGGTACGGTGCACTTTTGGGGGGTTTTTTGCACTGGGTACAGTTCCTGGTACTTTTTTTAGTACCACCTCGGTTGGGGTTCCAAGTGAACCGTACCGTTACCAAAACTTGACGTGTAAACTCTGCTGATCACGGATTGGCTGGAGAGAATCGCCACCACCTGCTCACTGGACTTGTGACACAAACACAAAACAACCGCTAGATTTAAATCAGCACAGCCAGCGAAGGATCGAACGCAACTGTTTTGAACGAGCGCACCTTTTTTTAACAACCAAAAAGTGGCTGTTCCCCCTGTTGAGGAAGTACAGACATTCCTCTCGTTGATAGCTGAGGAGCGGATCCAGCGAGAGCTTGATGGGGCGACACGGAATGAAAACGTTTTTTAAGCGGCGCAACTATAACGACATGTGGATAATCCCACCCACTCTAAAGCGGTACTAAACTGCAGTGGAAATGCAAACTGAGCCAAACCGAGCCGTGCCGTGCCGTACTGAGCCGTACCGAGCCGAGTCGTACCACACAGTGGAAAAGCGCCATTACTGTAGTGTAATTCATTAATTTAATGTGGTTTTATGTAAAACGTGTAGGAAATCATAATCAATAACTGTATGTTTAGATATCTAAAAATAAATAATTTAAATATATATTAAATGTACTATAATATTATATTACAAATAAACCCATTGCTCCTCAAATCTTTTCACAGATACGGGAAACACGGGGCTTTCTACAGGTTCAAGTCTAGCACTGGGAAGATCCTTCCGCTCTTTTATGTGTACGACTCCTACCTTATGCCACCGGAGGCCTGGGCTGAGCTGCTGACCGTCAGGGGCTCTCACAGTCTCCGAGGAACTCCTTACGATGGCATCTTCATCGCTCTCATTGTGGAGGAGCGTCACAAGCAGGAAATCCTGGCTGGTGGGTTCGACGGCATGTACACCTACTTTGCTTCTAATGGCTTCTCCTTTGGATCTTCTCACCAGAACTGGAAAGCAATCAAAGCTTTCTGCAACAAGAACAACTTGCTGTTTGTGCCTAGCGCTGGACCTGGTTATATGGACACCGCCGTCCGGCCGTGGAACAACCACAACACACGCAACCGAGTGAATGGACGATATTACGAGACCTCGTTGCAGGCAGCAATGTCCATAAGGCCTGATATCATCACAGTAACGTCGTTTAATGAGTGGCATGAAGGAACTCAGATTGAGAGGGCCGTGCCCAAGAAGACTGTGGCCCGTCTGTATTTGGACTACAAACCCCATCAGCCAGACCACTATCTGGAGCTCACCAGGAAGTGGGCAGAACATTTCAGTAAGGAGAAAGAGCAGTGGCTTATGTGATTGGGTTTCGCGTTTAGAAGGTTTCCACTTGTTGTTGACATTATCAACGTTACCGATTACTGTCTTTCAATGTATGCAGAAATTTTAAAGGCAGCTAATTAGCAAAGACAAGCCACCTTCTTTTTCTCTCACTCGGTCTATTGATAAACGATTGATTTACTGTCAATTTTCTTGCTGTTTCAATGCAAGTATTTACAAGAACAGTCCACCCAAAAATGAACATCTGTCATAATTTTTGTGATTACAAATCTATATCTGATTTGTGAATATTTTTTGGGGAAGCTGAAAACCCCTTTGCATCAGTCCAGTCTCATTCAGTCAAGTGCATATTCATACATGGGACATCATGAACAGCCCAAGACATGCGAGAACCAAAGCGGTTTGGCATCACTGACATCAAACCTGGCTGGAAATGTCTTGATGTGTGCCATATTTGATGGAATATGACTGTAAACACAAGGCTAAAACACCGTTTTTATGGTATACGTTAATGGTTTTTTTATTTTTGCACCTCAGCAGCATCCATCCTCATTCCCTGTCATTGTATGGAGAAGAGAAGTGTGAACATTGTGCTATATGCCTCCTTTTGTATTCCAAGTATGGTTTGGAAGTACATGGGGCTGGGAGAATTTGCAATTTTAGCTATTCCTTTAACATTAGGCATTGAATCTGACTTCTGCTAGCAGCAACAGTGTGGCCTCAGTATTCAAAGACTACTTGTATTGTGACATTTAAAAAATGGTTGGTGGTTGTGGATATGGTTTGTTTGAATAATGACTGATTTATTATGTTATGTAAATCCTAATTATGCATATTGTAACTCATGTTTAATATTAAACAATAAAAGGAAATCAACAATTTTGCCATAATGCTGTATTTTACATACAATAACAGACTGAGCAGAATGAATTTCTGTCTAAAGCCATCGTTAAGCATTTTTCTGTAAACTGTCACATATAAGTCAGTGTCTCAATTTAAATGAGAATGCTTTTATAAACAAGTTGCACAAAAATTTGCTATGCTCATTTTTCATTAGACAATATTATTTTATGCAGGATAGTCTTAAATTAACACTTACATTTATACTGATGTGAGGTAAACTAATCTGAATTTCATTAACTTTACCCTAGCACAACATTGGCATTTTACGACTAGAGGACGGTGTTGTCATGTATGATGAATGTTTAGCGTAATGATCACAACACTGCAATTAATCAAACTGTGTCTGGACAGATTTTGGCTGCATGTTGCTTCATGTTGAGCTAATGTTAGCCAGTGCTGTTACAGCAGTTTATGAATGTCAGCCTTGCACAAAACAACACATTCAAAACAGAACAGGCACTTCAACGATGATGCATTACCGGAGTACAAATTGCACCACACATAACACAATCAGCACTATGCTAAAATAGCCACAGAAGAAGAAATAAAAACACTTTTGGAAAGGTGATTCAAGAACAAAGAAAACATTATACAATGTGGATGTTTTCTGTAGCCCAGGCGGTGACTAAATAGTTGATATTAAAATAACGGCCCCACTTTATATTAATTGGCCTTAACTACTATGTACTTACATTTTCATTTATAATTTGGTACAATGCACTTATTGTGTACATACTGTACATGTTTTTACATTGTACTTATATTTTAAAAATACATCTGTAATTAATTTCTGTAATTACATTTATAATTACACTGTTGACCCATCCCTTACACCTTAACCCACCCTTAAACCAACCCATACCACCAAACCTGTGTAACAGTCCATAGTTCTGTTACTATGGTTTTAGTAGGTTGTAGTACTACTCCTGTCCTTTAGGGACTCTAAGTTGCTCTTCTCCTCTAGCTTAAATCCCGGTGAGGTGGTAGAGGAAGAGGAGATCTGTTTGGGGAAGGGGAAGCATGGTTTTTCTCCTCGAGTAGTCAATGCAGTAGAGGCCAGATATGTGTGGTAGGCTCAATCATAAGGACTCTTTAGTATTGGTAGTTAATTACTACTAATATGTACAATGGGGATGTGAGGAGCATTTCCACTGTGACTCTACTACACAGAAACCTATAGTGGATCTTTTGGGAATAGTCGTTACTCAACTACTAAAGCCTTTTTGTTTTGGAAGCACTTGGTGGATGGATATTGGGTTAGATTCTTGGTTTATGCTCATTGAACAAGACATCATCAACATCATTATCATCGTC